TCGTGAATGCAGTGTATCCTGGCCTTCGGGACAAAAGGTTCGTGTCGTAGAGAAAGAAGCCACTCAAGGCTCTGTCTGTGAGATCAGGTCAGTAGTAGTTCTTAAGGGAACTATCGACGTCTTGAACCCATGAGCAAGCTAGCTCAGCCCATAACTGAGGGAATGTGTAAACATGGCGCGATACTGAGATTGCATTGTGCCAATACAACCTGTCGGGACGATCCATTGCAATCCTTCAGAAAAGAAGAACCATCAGATCACGGTGGCAGGTATTCCCAGCTCAATTCCGCTGTCTTTGAGCAAGAGATCGTGCCACGAAGCCCAATTTCTCTGCCACGCGAATCTTTCAGAAAAGATGAGCAATGGCGTCTCGCTTGGGAGCGCGCTGAAAAGGGACATATTTATAAACCCGCGAGCCATGAACTGGAAAATAACCATACTAGCGGCGAGATTCGAAATGGCCCCGTTTCAATTCGAAACTGCTGGTAACAGAATTTAGCGCTGGCGACCATCCATGCAGCCCACAACGTGTCTATAGTCTATACCGCCCTCTCCCTCGCTAGCGGTCTTTGGACTTTGGAGTCGTTCCCGTACAGTGCCTCGAAGCCTGGCGAGAGTCCGATTTCGGAGGTTACAACGGGCTTTCCGCAAATTCCCGAACAGTTGCAGTCTTCCGCTCCATCAATAACATCAATTCCGGTGAACCAAAAGCGGACAAGACTGGTCAGGAAACCTCGGGATTTTCCGGAAGAAAGCAACATTGGCACTCCGCTGGGTCACATGATGTCTGGGGTAATCTGCTGTATCGTATCTTACCCGAGAGAACGATGGAGAGACCAGATGGGAAAATAGAGGACAGCTCACATGCTGAAGGCTACTACAGCATCTTGAGGCTGCCGCTAATTGGCCCTTATTCTCCTGCCAGGCCCATTAATGATTTCCCAGGCTGCATTGTTTAGTGAATCCCTTAATGAGTCGACAGTTGTGAGTCACAATATTGATTCTGAGTAGACTCCGTCTGCTTTCGGAAGTCATCATCATAGGCGATATGATTCGTTCACCCTTCCCGTGGTCGTATATTCTTCGCCAGGAGGTACCTAGGCATGATTCAAGTGTTTCAATCTGGGAAAGGGAAAGTATCCTGTAAGAAGTCCATCAATCGGCCGAAGGGTCCTGCAATTTATTTTGTCTGTCGCAGACTAAAGGCAACAGCATGGTGAGATGATCGACGGATCAGAGTCGATTACAACCCATAATCGAATGAATCATAGCTCTTCACCTTCACTATTGCCTTTGTTCGCCATAATCGACGAGTCGAAAAGGGTCAATCATCTAGTTTCCTTGGTGAATATTGGTAAGCGATGGGCGAGAAAACCCATATGTTGAATGCGTTGCGTAGGCTGGTACCTACCCAGGTAGCCTAGGTAGGAGTAGATACCTGAAGGCAGTCGTTTCGTGGTGTAGTCTAGTGGACGCTGCGGACACTCAAGGGAGATTGGAAATCGATTGATTTATGTATTATTATTATCATCACATATCTTCAATTAAGCTCTTATCGCGCGTGTCTGAGTCGGCATTGACAAGCCCACGCTGGCAAGTCCGAAACTCAATCAAATGGAAAATTAGCAGGGGTTGGGCTGCATGCATTAGTGCATCCAGTTGCGTACCGCTCGTATTCCGGGGTGCTGGTTAATTCCACGACGCCTATTGGTCGGGGTCATACACCATCAAGGGAGGAGGAGGGGAGGGAACCGAGGGAGGGGGTAAGAGTGGGTTTTCCCCAGGTGTGTATCTCAGGATTCTGGAGTTCATAGTCCACAATCCCACATAGCCATGAGCTACTACTGAATAGGTATGGAATAATTGATTATTATGGAGTACGGAGTAACGAAGGTAAGTCTGGCCTGATTTCAATATGGGCAAAGCCGTCAAGAGTACTGGTACTGGCGAGTGATGTTTGGTACATCGTAAGAGAAGAATACGGGGATCGGAGCCGAATCAATAATGTACGGAGTAGATTACCATTTACATTGAAGCGCGATAAGCTGCTTGATCATTTGATGACCTCAAAGAAACAGATTCCATAATTTCAAAAAGCAAGTCTGCACGCAATTCGATTACTGCTCAGAGGTCCCGACATCGGGGGTTCTTGCCTAAGGACAGCAGGAATTAATTTGGGGAGGACGGAGGAGGAGAGGAAGCAGACGGAAGAGGTAAGGCGCTAGCTTGGCCGTTGTCGGAAGTTGTGGTTTACAGGCTTATTCTGGGCGGACATTCGACTCCAAGGCTCTAATGGAGGGCAACGGACCAACGGTAACTGCTCCGTGCCAGTAATTTACCCGGCTTTGCTCAGCAATTTGGGTCATGAAACTTATGGTAATAATACATCATCGGTATGAGCTTGTACACTCAAGTTTATGAAGGTACCTTAGTATCAAATGTTTGCTGTACCATTCGCCTTGAAAACCAAACCCACACACCTCTCTATTTACTGAGGAAAATCTACTCCATACAATATGATCAATTTTTGTTAATGTTCAGCGTGGGGTACTCCATGCTGGCTGCAATGTAACCTAGTGTGAGTGTGACAGCACGGAGTCGACAGACTCGACACCCAGTCCTGAGCTAAGGCTGGATTTCAAGGCCATCTGTCGCTCAGTGCACGCCGTTGTCGGCCGGTGGCTTCCGCCAGAATCCTTCGGGTGCGCCTTTAGCTGGCTTGCAGTGTCGTGCGTCCTACTAAATTAATTTTTTTACTTTCTCTCTTTCCCTTCTTTCTGCCAGTGCCTACACTTTCAAGTTCCCAATGAGCGCCCAATCAAAACTTGTGAACGTCCCCTTCTGCTTGCCTAGCGGTAAGGTCGCATATAGACACCCAAGGTAGATAATTGAAATCCTCAACCAGAGGACAACCTAAGCAACTAAATCCATGTACTGCCCCACATAGCGACACCCACCCAGTTGGTTACCGCCCATGTGGCCATTCTGCTGTTAAGTCTAATAATATTAAGTCTGCAAGTTTGCAAGCAATCTCAGAGTCGGGATCTCCTCGGGAAAGGGCAGAAGCCTGTCAAAGACTCGAACAGTCATTGCCCCTTTGCATAGCGCATACAATTGACTATACGTGGGCGAATCAACCATGCCCAATTGGGTCTACTGCAGTGCGAGTTACCATCATCAATTGCCTTCTCCGTATAGGCTCTCCATCTCCAGTATTAAAGCGATTGACATGGAAATCGTGCCATGGGATCGTTTCAGATCCTGTCACCTTGCCTTCACATAGGAAATGCGCAACAGATGCCGTCTTCTTGTCAGTCCGAAGAGGTCAATCAGAAGCGGCGACAATTAGACTGTCACCAGGCAGACTGAAGTGGCATGAGATTTGTACACAAGTACCTCTCTATTCATATGGCTTTCAGGGCTGACGGACGGGCTTGATGGGAGAATATTACTCCAACAAATCGGGGCCAGTCACATCCAGATGAGCGTTCCGAGGCAAATCCAATCATCCAACTAATGTTGAAGAACGGACTCCAGCTGTTTATGAATATGTCCATCCTGAATGGATGATAGCCGTGGATGGATACCGTTCCAAACGAACGGCGTATTGTATCTCGGCTCGGGTGGTAAGTCAATTGAACCAAACTCATGCGCTAGCGCCGTCTTCTTTTGCTTTTATTTTTTAAGAATAATCTACAGTCAGAAGCTAAGGCCCATGTGCCCCACTGGGTTTGGATCTTGACGTAGTGAAAACCTAATCTTTTTAGGTCCAAGGTTGAAAAGCCTCTCTTCTGATTGGTGGGCGATGTCTTATCTCTCTCCTGTTGGAACAACCTATTAAGATACTGCTCATGCTGGAATTCCCCTCCATCTTCAAATTTATGCGATATGATGTACTCCATATGTCCGGACCTTCTCTTTGGCAAGGATTATAGAATCAATGATCTTCCTCGAAATTCGTATTTGTAAAACCTCTTCTGATCAATGTGGCAAGTGCCGAGAATGCTCCTCTCCTGCTCTGGGATTTGTGTACGGAGCACTCCGTACTTAGGTTAGAAGAAACACCGTCTCGCCCGAAGCGGGATTGAACGGGCGCGAAGGAATAGCAAATGTACCTTTTTCCGGCGAGAACTACAGTGGGCATCAGTCTTCACACAAAATAAATGCAGTGCTTGGGTTCTTCTGTCACAGGGAATATGCACACATCGTACTATAGACTTGCTCTGTTTATCCATGTCGCCTGTCATCCTACTGTACAGAGTAAGGGAGAACACTAAAATACTGGATGCAGTGCCTTGCATCCTACCCATAAAGTAGATACCAGATAGTAAATGATGACAAACTGCATTTCGCCACGGTGTAAGTCCTTCTTAACATATCCCAGTTCCCCAGTAGCCAATTTCCCTTCTGCAGACATTGATAGTCCTCCTTACTTGCTAGGTACCTAGCACTCGCCTAATAGTAGCGTTGTTCCAATTTTTCACACTACTAAGCAGCAGCCATACGAAATAATATAGCCTATAGGTACCTACTTACCAAGAGAATCCCATCGAAAATCCGTACAATTCGCCCATCGGAGTCTTGTGGATTCCCGGACCTCTCCCTCCCGTACGGTATCAGTGTATTTCGTTACTCACCACGGAATTACCCTGCAGGCTTGGTCGTCCCGCTCCACTGCCTCTGGCTATTTCTCCCCCTCCCCTCATTTATTTTCTGATCTTCCTTTTCTCCTTTCTTTCTTCCTTCTTTGCTCTCCTCTTACCATCACTCTCGAAGTCAGACGCTGGGTCAAACACCATCTAGACTTCCATAATCTCTCTTAGAACCCGCGTCCGACCCGAATACCTGTGACGACAGTCTAGACGCATCTTTCGTTCTATACAGCTACTCGACGGCCGCCCCGCCCCGGTCTTGTCTGCGACGTCCCTATTCCCAGACCCAGTGCAGCGACAGCCTTCCCAACCCTGTAATTCCATTCTCTGTCGGTCGCCGGCGGAAGAATGGGTCTTAACTTGCAGGAACTCTATGGCCAAAATATAGTTGAAGAGCAGAAACCGAACGAATATTCGGAGTACCAGCCAAAGCGTGGCTATGGCTGGGCTAACACTTTGCCCGAGAGGCAGGGTCTCTATGACCCCGAATATGAGAAGGATGCTTGCGGTGTAGGATTTGCTGCGTATGTTGCACATCTCCCCACGGATGTGATCCAGTGGCCAGAGATGGTCCGGAACTAGCATTGACTAACTTGACTTCTGCGGTTATCTAGTCACATCAAGGGCAAAGCAAGTCACAAAATTGTCAGCGATGGTAGGATCTCTCCTTTGGTAATCGCCAGTGAGCACGATCGAGTAACAGCTCGCTGACCTCTTTCTTCATTGACAGCCCGCAATCTGCTTTGCAACATGACGCATCGAGGAGCCGTTGGATCTGATGCACGAGACGGTGATGGTGCCGGTGTTATGACCAGTATTCCGCACAAATTTTTCGTTAAGAATTTCGCCCGAGAAGTTGGCGTTGACCTTCCTCCGCTTGGCCAGTATGCCGTCGGTAACTTGTTTTTCAAGCCCGATCAGGAGTCTCTTAAGGAGTCTACCGCCAAGCTCGAGGAAATTGCAGAATTTCTCGGTCTGCGGGTGCTAGGGTGGCGTGAGGTCCCTCGCGACTCAACCCTCTTGGGTCCTGCTGCTCTGTCCAGAGAGCCGATCATCATGCAGCCATTTGTGGTCTTGAAGTCCGCATATGGTGAGGGAAATAAGCCAGAGAACACCGATCCTGAGTCGTTCGACGAGAGGACTTTCGAGCGCCAGCTCTATGTTCTTCGGAAACGAGCTACTCACGTCATTGGTCTCGCTAATTGGTTCTATCTGTGCTCCCTCAGTAACAGAAACATTGTCTACAAGGGTCAATTGGCCCCTGTTCAGGTTTACCAGTACTACCATGATCTCGTCAATGTTGATTACGAAGCGCACTTCGCTCTCGTCCACTCCCGATTCTCTACCAACACATTCCCGTCTTGGGACCGTGCACAGCCTCTGCGATGGGCTGCCCACAACGGTGAAATCAACACCTTGCGCGGAAACAAGAACTGGATGAGAGCTAGAGAAGGCCTTCTTAAGTCTGACATTTTCGGTGACGAGCTGGATTCTCTGTACCCGATCGTTGAAGACGGTGGCTCTGACTCGGCTGCCTTCGATAATGTCCTGGAGTTGCTGATGATCAACGGTGTTCTTTCTCTGCCCGAGGCGGTCATGATCATGATTCCCGAGGCTTGGCAGGATAACCCGGCCATGGACCCTGCCAAAGCTGCCTTTTATGAGTGGGCTGCTTGTCAGATGGAGCCTTGGGATGGACCTGCGCTCTTCACTTTCTCTGATGGGCGTTACTGTGGTGCGAACTTGGACCGCAACGGTCTGCGTCCTTGCCGTTTCTATGTGACCGATGATGACCGTATTATCTGTGCCTCGGAAGTCGGTGCCGTGGACATTGACCCGGAAAGAGTCGTCCAAAAGGGTCGTCTACAGCCTGGAAAGATGCTCCTGGTTGATACTGTGGCCGGCCGTATCATCGATGATTCTGAACTGAAGCACACTGTCGCCCACCGTCAAGACTTTCCCGCATGGCTCGACAAGGAACTTTTGAAACTGCCTGACATCAATCGGAAGTTGCTCGAACAGAATGTTGATCTTAGTTACACACTCGACGATACCACTGTTCAAAATGACCCTCGGCTCAAGGCCTTCGGTTATTCTTTCGAGCAGGTCAGTCTGCTTCTCGGTCCTATGGCTGCGGATTCGAAGGAAGCCCTCGGTTCAATGGGCAATGATGCTCCACTGGCCTGCATGGCGCAGCAGCCTCGCCTTCTTTACGAATACTTCCGCCAGCTCTTCGCTCAAGTCACCAACCCTCCCATTGACCCTATTCGCGAGGCCGTTGTCATGTCTCTCGAGTGCTATGTCGGTCCTCAGGGCAATCTCTTGGAGATGGATGCCTCGCAGTGCAACCGTCTGCGTCTTCCCTCCCCCATCTTGAGCATCCCCGAGTTTAATGCCATCAAAAACATCAGCCAGGTCTACAATGACTGGACGGTGAAGATCATCGACATCACTTTCGAGAAGAAGAGGGGCGTCCCTGGTTACCTCGAGGCCCTTGATGCCATTTGCGATGCTACCACCGATGCAATTCAGAATGGCGACAAGATCATTGTCCTCTCTGACCGGGCAACCTCCGCGGATCGTGTTCCTGTGTCCGCATTGCTCGCTACGGGTCTCGTGCACCATCACATGGTCCGCAATAAGTGGAGATCACTTGCGGCTCTCGTCGTCGAAACTGCGGAGGCTCGAGAAGTCCACCACATGTGTGTCCTGGTTGGTTATGGTGCTGACGCTGTCAATCCCTACCTAGCCATGGAGTGTATTCTCAAGATGAACCGGGAGAAGTTGATTCGCAAGCAACTTTCCGATGAGAAAGTCATTGAGAACTACAAGGCTTCTTGCGACGGAGGTATCCTTAAAGTCATGAGCAAGATGGGTATTTCTACCCTGCAATCATACAAGGGTGCCCAAATTTTCGAGGCTCTCGGTATTGATGACAGCGTCATTGACCGATGTTTCGCTGGAACTGCGAGCCGTATCCGTGGATTGACTTTTGAGCTGATCGCCCAGGATGCATATGCCTTCCACGAACGCGGATACCCATCTCGCTCCATCATTGAAATTCCCGGACTTCCTGAATCGGGCGAGTACCACTGGCGTGACGGAGGTGAGGCGCACATCAACGACCCCGTCAGTATCGCCAATGTCCAAGACGCTGTCCGTACCAAGAACGACAAGTCTTACGAGGCTTACGCGAAGGCCGCACATGAGCAGATCAAGAACTGCACTCTGCGTGGTATGCTCGACTTCGACTTCGAGCAACGGAGCCCCATTCCTGTTGACCAGGTTGAGCCTTGGACTGAAATCGTCCGTCGTTTTGTGACAGGTGCCATGTCGTACGGATCCATCTCCATGGAATCTCACTCCACACTGGCCATTGCCATGAACCGTCTTGGTGGTAAATCCAACACGGGTGAAGGTGGTGAGGACCCTGAGCGTAGCAAACGACTGGAGAATGGTGACACCATGCGGTCTGCCATCAAGCAAATTGCCTCCGGCCGTTTCGGTGTGACCTCCCACTACCTTGCTGATGCCGACGAGCTGCAGATCAAGATGGCCCAGGGCGCTAAGCCTGGAGAAGGTGGTGAGCTGCCCGGCCACAAGGTTGTCGGCCCCATTGCCCACACTCGTTACTCCACTCCCGGTGTCGGTCTTATCTCACCTCCACCTCACCACGACATTTACTCAATTGAGGACCTGAAGCAGCTTATCTATGATCTCAAGTGTTCCAATCCTCGGTCCCGCGTTTCCGTGAAACTGGTGTCTGAGGTTGGTGTCGGTATCGTAGCCTCCGGTGTCGCCAAGGCCAAGGCTGATCATATTCTGATTTCCGGTCACGACGGTGGTACTGGTGCTTCTCGCTGGACTGGTATCAAGTACGCCGGTCTTCCATGGGAACTGGGTCTCGCTGAGACCCATCAGACTCTGGTCCTCAACGATCTGCGTGGTCGTGTAGTGGTTCAGACTGACGGTCAACTTCGCACCGGTCGTGATATCGCTATCGCCTGTTTGCTGGGTGCTGAAGAATTCGGTTTCGCCACCACTCCCCTGATCGCTCTTGGTTGCATCATGATGCGGAAATGTCATTTGAATACTTGTCCTGTTGGTATCGCAACTCAGGATCCCGAACTCCGCCAAAAGTTCAAGGGCACACCCGAGCACGTGATCAACTTCTTCTACTATGTGGCTAATGAGATGCGTGCTATCATGGCCAAGCTGGGCATTCGGACGGTCAACGAGATGGTTGGACGTGCTGAGTTGCTCAAGGTCAGGGAGGACATTCGGACCGCTAAGCAGGAGAGAATTGACCTCTCCCTCATCCTGACTCCCGCTCACTCTCTCCGTCCTGGCGTGGCTACCTACAATGTTCGCAAGCAAGACCACCGTCTGCACGTCCGCCTTGACAACAAGCTGATCGCAGAGTCCGAACTGGCGCTGGAGAAGGGTTTGCCTTGCAGAATTGAGTGTGACATTGTCAATACTGACCGTGCCCTGGGCGCTACTCTATCTTACCAGGTCAGTCGCCGCTATGGTGGAGCCGGCCTTCCTCAAGACACCATCCACGCCAACATCAAGGGCTCTGCTGGTCAGTCCTTTGGTGCTTTCCTTGCTCCTGGTATTACTCTCGAACTTGAAGGTGACGCCAACGATTATGTGGGCAAGGGTCTTTCTGGTGGTCGTCTCATTGTATATCCCCCTCGCGGCGCTGCCTACAAGGCAGAGGAGAACATCATTATCGGTAACACCTGTCTCTACGGTGCTACCCGGGGTACTTGCTACTTCCGTGGTGTGGCCGCTGAACGTTTTGCTGTTCGTAACTCCGGTGCTACTGCTGTTGTTGAAGGTGTTGGTGACCACGGTTGTGAGTACATGACCGGTGGTCGTGTGCTCATTCTTGGCTCGACCGGTCGTAACTTCGCTGCTGGTATGTCCGGTGGTATCGCCTATGTCTTGGACATGAACCAGGATTTCCTCTCCAAGGTCAATATGGAGATGGTCGAGGTTTCGGGCCTGGAAGACCCTGCTGAGATCGCCTTTGTCCGCGGTTTAATCGAGGACCACCACCACTACACTGGCTCAGAACTGGCCGCTCGTATCCTTCTGGACTTCACCCGTGCTCTTCCCCACTTTGTCAAGGTGTTGCCTACTGACTACAAGCGCATTCTTGAGGAGGACGCTGCCAAGGCCGCTGCCGCTAAGAAGGCCGAATTCACTATTCCCCAGCTTCCCAGCACTCCTGTCGAGAAGCCCAAGCCCAAGACGGAAGGAGAGGAGAAGAAGGCCGAGATGCTGGACATTGAAGACAGTGTGAGCGATTCAAAGACTGAGAAGAAGAGGTCCGCTTTGATCCTCGACAAGACGAGGGGTTTCATGAAGTACAGCCGGCGCAGCGAGAAATACCGCAACCCGGCTACTCGTACCCGTGACTGGGCCGAGCTGTCGAGCCGTCTCAGTGAGGATCAGTTAAAGTATCAAGTAAGTCTCACCTTAATTAATCCCAACCTATAACTAAGGTAGTTAATAAAACGGCTGCACTAGGCTGCCCGCTGTATGGACTGTGGTGTCCCCTTCTGCCAATCTGACACCGGTTGCCCTATCTCCAACATCATTCCCAAATGGAATGAGCTGGTGTTCTCTGACCAATGGCAGGATGCTCTGAATAGGCTACTTCTAACAAACAACTTCCCCGAGTTCACTGGTCGGGTCTGCCCTGCCCCTTGCGAAGGCGCCTGTGTGCTGGGCATCAATGAAGACCCTGTGGGTATTAAGTCTATCGAATGTGCCATCATCGACCGTGGCTTTGAGATGGGCTGGATGGTCCCTCGGCCCCCTAAGACGCGCACCGGCAAGACAGTCGCTGTTATTGGATCCGGGCCCGCTGGTCTCGCCGCTGCAGACCAGCTTAACCGTGCCGGACACAGCGTCACTGTCTACGAGCGTGCTGACCGTATTGGCGGTCTGCTGATGTACGGTATCCCCAACATGAAGCTTGATAAGAAGATCGTCCAACGCCGCGTCGATCTCATGGCCGCCGAGGGTGTCAAGTTCGTCACCAACACTGCCGTTGGCCCTGACAGCGAGGTGTCCCTGAACTCGCTGCGCCAGAGCAATGACGCCGTCATCATCGCCACTGGTGCCACTGTTGCCCGCGATCTAAAGGTCCCTGGCCGTGAGCTGGACGGTGTACATTTTGCCATGCAGTTCCTGCACCGCAACACCAAGTCTCTTCTCGACTCGGGTCTCTCTGACGGCGAGTACATCTCTGCCAAGGACAAGCACGTTGTTGTCATTGGTGGTGGTGACACTGGTAACGACTGCATTGGTACCTCTGTTCGCCATGGTGCCAAGTCTGTTGTTAACTTCGAGTTGCTGCCTCAGCCTCCACCAGAGCGTGCCCGTGACAACCCATGGCCCCAGTGGCCCCGTGTTTACCGTGTCGACTACGGCCACTCCGAGGTCAAGACCCACATGGGCAAGGATCCTCGCGAGTACTGTGTCATGTCTACTGAATTTGTCGACGACGGTAACGGTCACGTCAAGGGTATCAACACTGTCCGCGTCGAATGGACCAAGAGCGCCTCTGGCGGTTGGGATATGAAGACCGTTGAGGGTAGCGAACAGTTCTTCCCTGCGGACCTTGTTCTCCTTTCTATGGGTTTCCTCGGTCCTGAAGACCGCCTTCTGGGCGATGAAATTGAGCGCGATGCCCGTAAGAACGTCAAGACGCCTCCAGGTCATTATTCAACCAGTGTGTCCGGCGTCTTTGCTGCTGGTGACTGCCGCCGAGGACAGTCGCTCATTGTCTGGTAAGTCTACACCAATACCAAATTGACTCAAGGCTGGGTAAGCAACGGATCGTAACTAACACTTGTCTTCTAGGGGTATCAACGAAGGCCGTCAATGTGCTCGTGAAGTTGACAGCTTCCTGATGGGCACCAGCTCTCAGCTTCCTGTGACTGGTGGTATCGTACGCCGAGCAGCCATTGACATGGTCCCAAAGACAAGCGAGACCACTACTGTTGTCGCCTAGACGATTGTGACCTTGCTATCCCTGGGACTGTGACAGTATTTTCATGATGATAATGATTTAAGATATCTTTCTTTTGTTGTTGAAAAGTTCGTTGATCGATCCCAAATCCATTACAGGGTGGTCAATTGTATCTACCATGTTAGGCGCATCACGATTACATGGATGTGACAGAGGGAGGCTCACGCTCTCCTCACTTTCTGATTATTCTTCGGAGAAAGGCGAGTTTGCTTTTGGTTGCAGCGTCGTTTTACAGGATCTTATGGTGAACATTCAAGGTGTCGCCGGAGCTTTTACAATTGCCGCAAGTTCTATGCCTTACGTTTTATGTAGATATCCTTTTCTATCATCAATCCGAATCTCATTCTATATTTTTTGTGCGTTTTGGTGTTGTAAAGGGAACCTCTTCCGAAAACAAGGAAATAGAGTAATTTCTGTCCGACAAAACGGAGGATTGACCTTGGGTCTTAGTGTAAATTTGCTGGCAGGAATGTAAAAGAAAGACACAAAGGAAGCGTACCTCGTCCGTCTGCAGTTTCATTCGGTCGAGGATGTTCTTGATTGCTGGTCATGCTCCTCAACCATTGGGGTGTGCGAGAAAAGAGTTGAAACTCGTCGGGTCTATTCTGCTTTTGAGAGCCTTTATTGGAGGTAAGAGCTTACCCATCTTTATTCCTGACGCCAGGAGAAGGCTGTCTGGTTGTCGTGACACTGCGCTATTCGTTCTGCATTGATTCATTTCAAAGCGATTTTCCCGAGCTGGACCTGGATGGAGTGTGAGTTGGCGACCTGACGAAGCCGAACATATCTTTCAAAGATTGTCTCCTTGCCTTTTGGAAAAGGTGTCTCTCATCCTGACACATGACCTCGTCCAGAACCACGTCACCGGAGAAGTACTCCATGGCATTGTAGTACATGTTCAGACGGTTGGTAGACTCGTCCACCATGGCCCGAAGGTTCCTCTGCACCATCTCCTGATCCGAGGGAGTGGGCGGTTTCAAGCATGGCTTGGCTGCGACTGTGCACGACGATGGGCTAGGGCTAGGGCTGCGCTCGCGCTCGCACTCGCGGCTTCTGTAGTCAGGGCTCGGAATCTCAGTGACGGGACCCCAGCGGACGGTCTTTCTGGCGGGCGGGGCATCGTCTTTCTGGTGGTTATCGCTGTGTCTTTCGTGCGACTGCATGCGTTCCAGCGGATACCTGTAGTCTTCGTCAGTGTGGGAGCCGTGCCCGCACGCGAAGCGGTCTGAGAACCGCCATCTTCTGCGAGAACGACGTCGTGGTGGCGGGGACAACGGTGGTGATTGGGGCCTTGGAGGTGAAGGTGAGCAGTCCCAGATGACGATGAGTAGGAACAGGAGGTGAGTTAGACGAGATCTCATCATGAAGCTAGGATTGGGGGAATGGGGGAACGCAGGTTTTGTTGGGTTGTAGCTTGATTATTTTGCTGGGCGGTCCCTCTGCTTTTATAATCATAGTGGTCTGCTCAGCCTCTGATGTCTGGGATGGTGATATGAGACATACGTTGACTTGGAGCCTTGATACTGAGCCTCGATGGCGGATGAACAATGAGAACAAGGGCGTCGGTGAGGATCTTCTTTGTCCTTGTTCTAGACACAATGCTTTGTATGTGTCACCGGCGGAGAGCTTGCTTTCTCCGCATTGTCGAGTCATGAAAGAGCAGCTATCCAGATTTGAAACTGGAGCGACGAGTCAAGGATAATAAGACTTGATTCATTCAGTGTATCCCAGTTGCTAAACATAAGATGTACTCCGAAGTCCACAATGTATAATACAATCGTCCCAGGAGGGACAGGTATCCAATCCAGACGGTATGAAAGAGGCACAAGGAAGACAGGCCAGAAAATGAACTATATCCCACCAGCGTTGCGACTCGCTTCCTCCTCGGCCTTCATCTCCCTCTCCAGTGCGGCAAAATCCCCCTGGAAAGCATGCTGCACTGGTTCCCTCCGAAGGTCCCAGACATCCTCACTGCTCGGCCCCGTCTTGTACTTGACGGCCTTTTTCCGGTAGTGGTCCCGAATCACTTTCTTGCGCTCCTCATCCGCCATTCCTCGGGCCTTCATGCACAACCAAAAATTATCCCAGTGTTCGCTGCACGACCGCAGCTCGCCGTAGCGGTATACGTTCACAAACTGGCCTCCAAACGACTGGCAGAAAAAAGCATAGTCAAAAGCAGAGCGGCAGGACATGGTATCGGGGTAGAGAGACTCGGGGGCGATCGAAGCAGGAGGTTGCGGAGGGCCGGAAGGTGATGTTGTTGATGGGGATAGGGGAGATTCTGAGACATTGGGCGACTGCTGTGGTGATTTTGTTCGTGATACTTCGGCCTTTAAGCTCTCCAGTAACTGGTTGAACTCTGCATCCGCTTGTTCCTCGCGACTCAAGGACCGAGACTGCGACGATGGCGGCGTGGTGCCTGGGGTCTCTGCTGTGGGTGATGACTGCGGCGCCGCATTGTTGGACAAAGAAGGCATAGAGGAGGTCGCTTGAGGTTCCTCCTTCGAGGGGGATGATCTCCAGAGCCAGCCCATTTCGACTATATCGTGTGCTGGGGGATTATGGGATGGAGGGATATCTTCGTCTTGTGGATCGAGTTATCCACATCGATAATATACACCTTTTAATGCAAAAACGATCTTCATCTTCGGAGGTGTAAATTTCGCACTGCATCCCGCAAACGAGCTGTGACGGTAATATGGAGTAATTTACAAATACTCATGTAATAAATATTGTTACATGCGTATTGGCTTTACACATGCACTCATGATCGACGTCATAAGTTGGCACCTACCAAGCTTCCCCTCATAGAAAGTACTCATGGATACCAATCCATCACAATCATCTTCGGCAACACTCTTCTCCAATCTTCAAAGAAGAATGTCATCCCCGCCGCGATGATGCGAACTCGATTCCAGGGTTTGGTACCCCGAATCTGCCAGACCCCTCTATCCTGGAAACCTCCTGCTACACAACTGACCCGAGCCCGCTATGCAAGATTGAGTTCTTCGCATGCAGTGTCATGGCTCGAGACAGGACACATTGATCTGAAAAAGGATGAGGGACTCCTTTTTGTCAATAGTAAGACCTTGCCTATCTTCCATGTGTCACCCCTACGCGTAACTTAATGCTTCAAAAATAGATATCTTTCCGTCCAAACTCCAATGGTTGCTGCAGGGTCCGCTGGGTGGTTTGCGGTCCTACGAGGAGGCCGTGAAGCGCATCGACAAACCGCATTTGGCGGCATCGGATACTTCTCAGATCATCCGACGAGTGGTTCCAGAGAACCTCAATATCCAAGTTAAAGAGGTCGTTCCACGGTTCAGGGAAGGCGGCGCGTTTGTCAAGTACACTCGTCCAAGCAATATCGACGACGCCGACATTGAAGCCTCTATCAAAGCGAATCTGAAAGAGCATCCCATCAGGCCCTGGTTCAATCCTTTTCAAGAAGTCCAAGTATGTCGCGTCATTGGAAGGCCCTGGATAGAAGATCTCTATCGCATTCCAAGCCCCCGCCTCAAGGTTGCGTTCCACCCTGTGTCTCCCGAAGCATCAGCGGCAGATCTGAGCACAGAGACTTTATACACTCTATTTCGCCCCTATGGGAAGATTAGAGACATAGAGAAACAACCGTCTGACTCGAAGGTCACGCCCAGATATGCCTTTGTGGAATTTTCTCGGCCCAAGTACGCTGGCATGGCGAAGAACTGTATGCACGGATTCACTGTCCCAGAGCAAGAGGGTGGCGGCAAATCGGGTACTCGGCTGAAGATCAAGTACGAACGGAAGATCAAGCTATCCATGATCAAGGACTGGCTTTTGAGTCATCCCAGAATCGTGATTCCTGTGCTGGCCGCCCTTTTGGCCGCCATCACCGTCATCATCTTCGATCCAATGCGGACATTTTTCATCAAACTGAAAATAAAGTCGACACTTCAGACCGAAGAGAACGGCGTGATGCAATGGATCCGCAAGCAGGCCAATAAAGCAAACATCATTTATTTTGGTCGTAAAGGGGCGGATCCTCGCGGGCTCACGGCCATATGGGAGGACCGTCAGGACGATATTACTCGACTGCAATCCTGGCTCATGGAGAATGTGGAAACTTTCATCGTTGTTCATGGACCTCGTGGCTCTGGCAAGCGGGAGCTTGTATTGGACCGGGCGCTGGTCAATTACAAATATAAGATAGTCATCGACTGTAAACAAATCCAGGACGCACGGGGTGACAGTGCGAAAATTGCCAGGGCAGCCAGTCAGGTAGGCTACCGACCGGTTTTCTCATGGATGAACAGCATCAGCAGTTTTATCGATCTCGCGGCACAGGGAATGATTGGGACCAAAGCAGGGTTCTCGGAGACGCTGGACGCCCAGCTGAGCAACATCTGGCAAAACACGGCCACCGCTTTGAAGAAAGTCACCTTAGAGCACAGGAAGAAAGATGACAAGGAGTCGCACTTGACCGATGAAGAGTATCTTGAGGCTCATCCCGAGCTTCGCCCAGTGGTGATAATCGACAACTACCTGCACAATGCTTCCGAGAGCAGCGTCGTGTACGACAAGGTCACCGAGTGGGCCGCTGGCCTAACGGCCGGAAACATTGCCCATGTCATATTCCTCACGACCGATGTCTCATACGCCAAACCTTTGAGCAAAGCGTTGCCAAATTCGGTTTTCCGCACAATCACACTGGGTGACTGTTCTCTGGAGGTCGGCAGGAAGTTTGTTGTGAATCACTTGGCATATGAGTCAAAGGATGGGAAGACTCAGCCACGGCGTGCTGAAGAGTTGGAGGACCTAGACGCTTGCATTGAGATCCTGGGAGGCAGGGTGACAGATCTTGAGTTCATGGCACACCGTATTGAGGCAGGAGAGACACCACGAGGTACGTCGAGAGCACCGGCCCACGCTCTATGATAGATTACTAACATACGCTCAAGGCGCGGTCAACCGCATTATCGAACAGTCGGCATCGGAAATTC